AGAGTCTCCTTTATTTACTGAAGTTTGCACGCTGTACTGGGATGCATAGCGATGCTGACGAGGCTGGCAGCGCCACTTCTTTACCATCTTTTCTCCGTCATTAGCTTTAGAACGCCGGTATACTGTTCAGTAGATGAAGCTCGTGGAGTGCTGGACTGACTTAAAGACTCCACATTTAAAGTCAACGAGCGACAAGCGGAGGCGGGCAGAGAGACCCGTGAGCTGTAGGGTCATCAGAACTTTGAACTTAGGCTGAGAGCTCGAGTAGCATACTGCAGCAAACGCCACAAAGCGAAAACTTATGGTACTAAAAGAGCAAAACAGAATCTGCACGTTGTAGACTATTCTGACCACAGTGGAAATCATCACGCAGGACGACACTTCAAACCCTTTTCCCCGCTCTGGTAGACCCCAAAAGGCAGACAGCGTCTTATCTACCGATGTGACTTAGAGTCGGGATTTTACGTTGTGCATCACTGGATATAAAGGGCGCTGATTCTCACTTTTTTGGCCACCACGTCCGGAGGGAAGCTCTGTTTGGAGATTACCCATAATGCTCTGGTGCACGTGTTCTTATCTGCCGACTTCACCACCAGAGAGCAAAGTGCTGAGAGGAGATCGGCTGCGAGGGTTTCTGTTGTAAAAAAAACAAAAACAGACACTCAGGTACGGTCGCTCTCCCACCAGGTGATAACTGACTTCATGTGTCAAATATGAAAACTCACCAGGAACTGCGGAGACAACGTGAGAATGGTACAAACAAAAGCCTAATGCTTGCAGGGCAGCTTGGCTCAGCTCTGCGTTTGTGCTGCTTATGTGAGCCTGGAAGACATGATCAGAATTAGGAATCATAGAAACACAGATTTAATGTGTAACAGGGGATTCCAGTCAGCTTTCAGCTTTACATGAATTAAAGATGGATATCAAGACTCACCAGGGCGGCGTTACCCAGACGAGAAAAGTGCTTTTCAACTGCAGGGAGAAACTGGCGTCCTTCCTCTCCACTGAGCCGGCTGGAAGGACAGACAGATTCAACGATATGAAGTTTTTTGGTTTTTTTTAAGAGACACTCTCTCTGACATTAGCGGTCTATCTTCTAACGCCACCAGGGCCGGTGGGACGTACTTTGCGATGGTGAGGTAGGCGTCCGTCTGCTCGGGCTGTCCAGCGGCGCTGTCCTCCAGAGACTCCAACAGGGGGAGGAAGCTGGAGCTGCTCGGAGGCTCCGCCGTCGCCATCATTATTCCTCCTCGCCTCACCTCCTCAAGGCCTTAAGGAGGAGGGAGACACGGAGAGCAGGAGGGAGTGAGGAAAGGGAGAACGGGAGGCATGTTGAAAACACCGAGAGAGACAGAGAAGGCTTAGGAGACGGATATCAGTAAAGTGGAGGCTCTGGTCTTGATTCAATAAGTAACCATTTACTAAATATGTACTATACCTTTATATACACAAGACCTCAGATTTCTAATTGATGTTTCTCTGTCTTTTCAGCTACATACTGAGACACTTGTAGAAAAGCTGAAGATGCAGCTGGTTTTTATTTCAGAAATAAGTCTGTTTTTTTCCTTTGCTGCTTCTTTCACGCCCCTGATCGGTTACTGTGATGTTTTATAAATGCAGCATCTTCTCAAGATAGTTTTTATCATGCTGCGTTAAGGGTCAAAACAAATCTTAAGGCCCTGTTTCATCATTGTACTCTGCGTCTTGAAACGGGGGAAAACAAGTTTCAGGTTCTCTGCTCCTGCAGGAGCATCTGTGTCTAAGGAAGCTCCTCCAGACACAGTCTGAATCCCCGCCTGACAGGAGCCTCTCTGTGTGGAGCCTGCATGCTCTCCCCGTGCATGTGTGGGTTCTCTCCGGGTACTCCGTCTTCCTCCCACAGTCCAAAGACATGCTCGTTAGGTTAACTGGTGACTCTAAATTGTCCGTAGGTGTGAATGGGAGTGTGGCTGGTTGTCTGTCTCTATACGTCAGCCCTGTGATTGGCTGGAGAACAGTCCAGGTTGTACCGTGCCTCTCGCCCCAATGACAGCTGGGATGAGCTCCAGCCACCCGTGACCCCGAACAGGAAAAGCGGCATAGATGATGGATGTATTGCTTTATAGTTTTACCTGCCCTTTAAGGCCTTTTCTTATATTATTTTGGAGACCCCTCTCTGTTTTTTTTCTGACAGTTCATGTTTGTTTCGTTATTGTCAGGACTTCCTGTTCTGTCAAAGCCCTTTGAAAACATCCGATTTGAAAACAAAAAAAAAAAGGTGCTATATGAATACAGCTGTTAAATATATATAAAACAAAAGGCAGGAAGAGATACAGATGTGCATGTACATACCTCAGTGAGATATATGCAAATCTGTGAACACCCTCCAGTCTCCAGATCTGCAAAGACAGGATACAGGAACACAAAAAGGTTAAAGGTCAACCGGTGTTAAACATGTTAAAACCAGCTGATACTGTAAACAGTCTCTCTTTAAGTGAAACTGATCTGGTTTCAGTGTGTGCTGGATGCTACCAGAGGCCAAACAGCCTCCACAGAGCAACTTGTTTGACCCCCAAAACAACTGAGCATCCTGCTGTAAATAACTAATCCACATCAAAATCATGTTTTCAAACACACGAGGGACCAAAGCGTTACTTCATCTTATTGGGGAAAACCAACACCATGCGGGGAATCAGCTACACGAGCATGCTAACGTTAACTAGCATCGTTAGCAGGCTGCATGAACAGCCTATTAGCGAGTTAGCAAAGTTTCATGTTCACTCCAAGAGGAGTCAAAGACCGCTAAAAACACGGTGACACAGCCTCACCTGCCGTATGTCACCTGTCCACTGCAAGGGCTTTTTATTAAGACCCATAGAGGAGCACATAAACGACGTTAACAAAGCGATATTTACATATTTACATCTTGGTTGTTTGACACAGGGATGGCTCACCTCGGAGTTTGCAGGAACAGGCGCGAGCAGCGGGAATTAAAAAAAAAAAAAAAAAAGACACACGATTAAAAACAGCGTCCACGTTCCTGTGAGGTATTAATATCTCTTTACTTCGGGTGTTTGTGTCTTTATATTTGATCTACCTCCTTCTCCTCTGCTGCTGTTACCCCGCGAAATCGCTGGCGCCAAACTACCACGCAGACGTACAAAATTACCTCTGACCCCGCTGACGTCACCCTCAGGCACCGCCCACTTTACCTTATAAGGAGCCTCGTTCATTTTCTCCATAGCGGATTTGATTATGAGCCATAACGTCAAAATAATCCAAGGTAGACCGACCACGATCCACCTGAGTGAGAGAAGGTGATATATATTCTCCTGTAGAAGACATACGTCTGTATGATAGCAACCTCGTTTTAAGAAAAACGTGGTTTTATTCGTGATCTCCGGGAAAAGAACCACATTACCCAGAATCCTCGGGTGTCACAGTGACGTCGCTGATTGGTGGAGCTCCGTGTTGCCATGGAAATGTTTACCGCCCCCGCGAATTTGTTGCAGTTTTAAAGGCTGTATATGCGATTTTTTTTGATCCAGCAGATGTCGCCCTTGAGCACCAGCATGAAACCAGCGGGACTCGGGTGTTACACTTATTGTAGACAGTCATGACTCAGTTATTTTCAGAGGATATACTTGATTTCTATTACATTTAAGTGTGAAAAATCGCATATAAAGCCTTTAAGCAACTAAAACAAGAAATGCTCCAATGTTGGCTCTCTAGGACTTCTATTTTGGTTGTTGTTTTAAAATAGGTATCAATTTAGTTTGATTTTTACTAGAATCCGAGTTTTAAATCCTGGTATCGTGACAACCCTAGACCTAGGTAAATACCTTGTAGTGGTAGATAGTTATGGTTTCTGAAGCAGGTATTTACACCACTGGTCGCCACCTGAGCGCCAGATAGTGAATCTAAAACCTGAAACCAGGATACAGTGTTTACATGCAGAACAAATAACAAGGATACTTCAAAAACATAACCAGGTTCATTGTGTTCATGAAAACAGAGTCATGGCTTAATCTACTGCTGAGGATGCAGGAGATAAACCTGATCCTCGGACCTCACAGAGACCCACCAACATGTCCGACCTAACATGCAGAGAAAGTCTAGTTAAGATAAGATAAGATATACTTTATTCAACCGAGCAGGGAAATTTTGGTGTTCCAGCAGCCAGCATACATACAAACACACAACACAACACATATATACATACATATCCCACCCATACAAAAAACATGAGCCCACAATACATAGCCAGGATAAAAAAGTGGTATGGATGGTCCATGTGCATAAGTAGCTGTTACTCAGAGATAAATTAGATATATATAATATATTATTATTATATTATTATATATATAAATATTATATATACACCTATTAACATATTCTCTGCAAGAACAACTCAAAGTCCTGGGTGCAAATGAAGCAAAACTTAATCCATCTTTAATGTAAAATGTCAGTTTAATTAATAAAAACAATATTTAAGTCAACATGCTGTACTCACCACTAAACTCTGCTAACCGACCCCAGCCCTCCAGTTTACATGATGACACTAAACTCTGTACAGCTGTCTGCCGTCATGCTACACTGACGCAGCCGACCTTTGTGAGGAGTCTTTAACGGGGAGCAGACTTCTTAGGTGAACAGTCTGCGCTGAATTATTAATGAGCAAACTTCCCGTCATCACTGACACACATTACCGACCAGAACACATGTTCTGTTTGCAGAACACACGTTCATTACGTCTACATGTCAGTGAACATGTTTGGATAAAAGTACAATACCGAAACAAAAAACAGGTTAAGAAAAATAAAAACAATCAGTCCACATTAACAGACTTTTCCCGCGCTGCTTTGTTTCCAGTCTTCTTCTGTCTCTTCTTCTTCCCCTCCTTAAACACCGGAGAGCTCAGAAACATGCTGGCCGTGAATTTATCTCCGCGCCTGATTTTGCTGTAAAAAAATAAATAATAATGATCACTTCCTGCTTTAATTGAACCTGAAACAAAGATGTTACCACTGATCAGTTACAACGAGAAGTCCTCGCCTGTTGAGGGTCGGTTCTTTGTAGCTGACGACACCATGTCGTCTCCTGGTTCTGCCTCCTGCTTCACCGTCTGGAGTTGAGATGGTGTTGGTCAGTGTTGTTAAGACTCCACTTGCTGCAAAAACACACAAATAAGTTGAGCTCTTAAAGGTCACATATTCTCTTCCTCTTCTTCAACCAGAGAGGGTCTCAGATCTCCCCAAAACATGTCTTGTTGAAGTCTTGTTGAACATGAAGTTTCTTGTTCTAAATCCACTCTGATCCTGTATTTGATCATGCCTATAAACCCCTCTATTTCAGCCCTGATCAGAACAGGCTGTTTCTGTGTCTGTACCTTTAAATTTGTAAATGAGCTGTGTCTGACCACGCCCCCTCTCTGGAAGGGATTGGGTGTCTCGGGCTTTCTCGCTCCATGTCCTATTGTTTACGGTGAGAAGGCAGACTCAGAGGGCAGAACAAACACCTAGCTGTGGGAGTGTCACCCACCTGGGGGAGGGGTTACTGCCCTTTGTGATGTCATGAAGAGAACATCTCCAAACGGCCTGTTTGAGCACACATTTTCTGAAATGTGGAGCAGGCAAAAGATGGAGAGGATGGACTTGATTCTCATCATTGGCGGGTTTGTAGACGGACTAGAGACACATATTAGAGTTAGAGGAACATATAATTAATCAAAAGATCAATTCAGGCTGTGGCCTGTTGGTTGGTGCGCACGCCCCATACTTTCCCGCATGCCATTTCTCACTTTCTCTCTACGGATTTCTGACTCTATATACACTTTCCTATCTGTACAATAAAAGCATAAAAAGCCCCAAAATAAAAAACCTTAAAAGATCAAGTCAGGACATTTCATGAAACAAAAAAAAATGTTGCAATAGAAGACCCGCCATCTTCACTGGAGTTTGACCTTTAACCTTTACCAGGTAATTATTAAATAAATAAAAGACAAATTAGAGGACGTCCCACCTGACGAGGCTTCAGTTGTGACAGCAGCAGACTCCTCGATCACTGCCGGCCTGCTCAACGTCTCCCTTCTGGGGGTCGCAGGTAAAGAGCCGGCTTCAGAGTCAGCATGGCTGACATCGATGTGCATCCACGGAGGCATCTCATCTGTCAGCAGGTCTCCCACATCTTGACGACCTGCCGCTCCTCTGCTGTCCACCATGTGACTGTTGGAATCTGACATATTAGATGTCCTGAAGTCGTTCAGTGAGACGTCGTCTTTGTTTGTGCCTCCATAGACGACAAACGTCTCCCTCAGATTTCTGGTCTGTGTGGGTCTCTTCAGCTTGGACGTCTTCCTCTTCTGTTTTGGGTTTGACTCCTTCTTGGATTTGTCAGGTGTCAGAGAAAATAAATATGCAAAGAGTTCGTCTTTTTCGCTAATGTAAGAATGTGGGTCAACAACTTGTAATTCATCTAGTTGGTGTTGATTTCTTTCAGTGTCGTCAACATCATTGAGAGGAGAGGCAGATCTAAACCCTGTGTTGTTATGGCGACCTTCGGTCTTCTGCTTCCTGTTAATTAAACTTTCAACACACCCCTCCCTCTGCACAGTTTTCTTTTTACTGGACCCATTCGTTTCTTCTCTCCTTGCTTTTTTAGGTTTCTGAAACTCAGTTTCTGAAGAACTTTCTGGGTCCAGCTGTGGTGCATCGTGGTTTTCTTTGCCAGTCGAATCCTCTTGTGGGCTTCCTGAATCCTGAGTGGCCAGCCAGGGACGCTTACATGAGCTGGGTGTTGTCTGGACACATGCACCATCACTTTCACTGTGTGGACTTGAGCCTGAATGTTGCATAACAGCGGCTCCTTCTGCCTCACAGATGGAGGATCCTGCAGAAGGCATCACATCGTGCTCTGCGACATGGACTTCTGGGGAAGCTCTGCTCAATAACATGCTCTCCCTGGCGACTGAGATCACAAATGTCCCCCTGCATTTTGGTTTGTGACTTCCTGCAGAATTTGTCCTGACTTCATTTCTCTGTACTTCATTTACCAAATGTCCAGAACTAGGAAGTGCAACCTCATCAGCACAGACCAGGAATTCTTCAGGTAGTTCATGGTCTTTGGATGCTTTATATTTTCTCTCGATCACTTCTTCCATTTCATTTTGGATTTTTTCAAATTCTGACTTTCTGATCTCACTTTCACGCAATGGCAAAGTCACAAAAGGCGTCCTGGTGAATGTGGACATCCTCCTGCCTTTTGTCCTGGACCTCCTGCATGTGATTTTAGGCCACGCCTCCTCTGCGGTATCGTCCTCTGGTGCTAGTCTTAGACTCTCTCTGGCTTTTGAGAGTCTAAAATCAGAGTCCATGAAATAATCGTCCACGTCTGGTGGGGCAGTATCAACAGAGTCTCTTTTGGACTTGGGGGTGTCAAAGGATAGATAAGCCATTCATGAGTGAGTGTGGGCACAAAGATTGACTTGGCTCTCTTCATCCTGCAGGTGAGTGATATGAACCTGTAGCCTGAGGGTAGGAGGTTTGTAGAGAGAAGTGTGTGAGCGTGCGGTGTCTGACGCTGTGTGTGTGTGTGTGTGTGTGTGTGTGTGTGTGTGTGTGTGTGTGTGTGTGTGTGTGTGTGTGTGTGTTGTATTTGAGGCTAGGTGTTGTCCCTTTAGTTTTGTCCTCCTTTATGAAATGCAAATTAGAGGTTCCTGCTCCTGTCCGATTATTTAACTGCTCATCGTTATGATCCTGTTTTTCTAGGAGCAGTAAAATAATAAGCAGTAACCTACTTAATGTAAACTAAACTCTGAGTGTTGATATTTTCAAACAACAAACCAACCAGTTTCCTGTGCTTTTCTTTGCGGCTAACTCAAAGCACAGAGCCTCCACTTGTTTCTGAAGGAACATGATGTCTTTCTCCAGCTGCCGGCTCCGCTCCTTCTGCATCTCCAGAGCAACAGCCAGGGCCTTGTTGTTCTTCTTCAGAGACACCTTGAAGAAGGAAGACGTGTCTGGTGCAGCAACAAAGAAGAATAACAGAATTCCCATGTGTTTGCTCATTCAGAAAATATGTGAGGACTGCACAAATGTATTAAATGGTTTGAAAAAGTGTGTCAGACTCACTGAGAAGCTTATTTTTGATCTTCGATGCTGCAGCTGAAGACTGCTTGGAGGACGTGATGGTTGTCATTGTCCGCACAGGTAACATGATCAGGTGTTATGAAGGGCTGTGTGAATTATTAAATCATTTGTTAAAGCAAAACACGGGACTTTGTACAACAGTGTTTTTAGCACAAGGAGCATGACGTCACAAGTACGGAAAGGGAGTCAGTGTTGTCATGTATGTGTCTGTCTGTCTTTTATCTATCTATGTTACATTTTAGGCATGAAACCACCAGCAAAAAAAAGTGGTATCTGATCTACTAACAGCGCGCAGTGAGGATTGTGTCTTTCAAATGAGCAAAACAACACGCATTGTCCATTTAGTATGTTTGCCTTAATGAATATGCAATATGGGGCATTTCTGCCCTAAAGTGCAAAATACAGAGTACCCCCTCTGGTGCGCTCCTCTCCATAATGCGCTCGTCTCCTTCCTCTAAAGCCTGCTGCTGCTACTCTGTAGGATGCTTTGATTGGGGGACCTCACCACTGTTTGCACCCCCGTCTTCGATACCTCTTTCCAGGGCATTTTATGTTCGATCAGACACAGCGCTGGCCAGCAGAGGACACAGCTCGCACCTCCTGCGCAATGTATGACACTTAATTCTTAAAATGAAGGGAAGAAAAGAGAGGCCCTGTCTAATACCGAATTTAATATTTTCTTATAACCAAAATTTTTCTTTGTAATATTCAGATTTATCTCCTCAAACTAGAAAGTATTTTGCGTTTATTTGCCTCTCCCACTGATACCTATTTCACACTTGCAGTCGTCCTGCTTTCTGTCCAAACGCTCCGTGACGTAAACCAGTAGAACACGCAAAAACCTAACTTAAATAGTTCCGCCTCCACAAGGTTTGCACCTGGTGTCATTCACGCAATTTTTCTTAGTAGGTCACCCGCAAAACGCCCACCAACCAAACGTGCAATTTTTTGGAGTGAACACGTAATTTAGTACTCTTTAATTGGGAGCTTAGTAAATCTGGCCCTTTGAGCATTTCCGAAGTGAACACAGCCCTTTTTTGAGCATAACTAAGCTGACTAACCGGGTGGTGTAAAGTAGCACATTACATTCAAAATTAGGACAAAACTTACCGTTAACAAACTTCAGCAAGCGGGAGACTTCGCGTCTTGCTAATAAAAGCCCTTATCGATGATAAACGAACGCTGATAATGTCTTTAATAGTTTAAAATATGTCGTGGGTAAAATGCTGCTCGTTCCGTTTTCAACATAAAACAGAAAGTCCGCCGCTCTACAGCACATGCGTGTCCCAGGAGCTGAGGGCCAATCGGGATGGCGATTAAAAGTCTCCCTGCGCTAACCCGCAATTCACACATACTCCGTGCGCGCCGCAGAACATGCAAACAACATGTCGCTTTGTCTTTCTGAGGATGCATTGTTGTTAATCCGGTTCCTGTTCTGACGTAATGTTGATAAAGTGATGGAAAAATACGATCGCGAGTCCGTTTCGTGTGTTTTGTTTTGAAATTGACCGGATGCTCTGTGCGTTTCCTTGTCTGACTTCCTACTGTCATATTCTGTCCAGCTTGACGCGTGCCTGCAGCGCACTCCGGCGAAAATAGACTCACTGCGTATTTGAAACGGAGCAGAGCGCAGTGCCGTCGGTGGCACGCTCTGGAGATGGGCCGCAGCGCGCGCTGTGTGAACACAATGATAGAGTGGCAGCTAAGTACAACATAGTGCGAGCCGCTGACGGAATCCACTTTTCTTTCAAACCAAATACATTTATAACCTCTATAGTTATATGTTTTGTTTTTGTTTTACTCTTGGGACTGTGACACGCTCTGAAACACACCAGATTTCATGGTAATTATGTCAGCTTTTCCATGAGTAAATAAAGAGCTTGTTGTGGTCAGACAGTGGAATTCAACTTTTTTTTAATCTCGTTGTTCAAATAGATTACTATCTTAATTTGATTTATTTATATGGCTCATGGCAATAATAACACAATAAAACATGAAACACAATTATAACAAAAAATATTTGTTGTTTCAGATATTAGGCTACTTAACGGGGACATATTATAAAAAAAATCCTCTTTTACAGTGTTGTTGAACACATATTTTGGTAACCTGAGTGTCTACTGACCCACAAAATGCGAAATAAACCCATCCAGACACATGCCTTCTTCAACTTATATTACAAACATCTTTTTGCTTATCTGATTGTAACAACTTGTTTACATAGATGGGCAGTTCACATAGCTTAATACTTTGGCAGCTATCTTTACAAATCCTATTTTAGCCAATCGTACCATTTATATCTTTCATTGACCTTACAGGTGGTGTTATTCACTGATAAATCAAAGACAGCCTGATGACACTTTTGGTTTTCACCAGTAAATAATTTTCCAATTAAAATATTGCTTTTTCTATTTAAATTAGGCCATTTGCAATTATGGATAGGATAGCTGAAATGACAGAAAATGTTAGGAGGAGAGAGTAGGGGATTCTAAACGACAGCCGCCTGACGAGGGCAGGGAGCGCACAACATCACTGCCAGGCTATCTGGCGCCCCTGTCCACGATTTCTCACTGTATTTTCTGCAATATTTCATTTTTATGAATTCTTTTTTTCTATTTTATTAGGCTACATCAAAATTGTGTCTGCACTCTGACCTCATTTTGCCAATGAGGACCATCAATTCACTCTTCCCAGCCTACAGTAGCCAACGAGAGCCTGAGATGAAAAGTGGTGTCTGACTCTATTCTGATGTAACCAAACCAGGGCAATTGCATGTGAGGTGACTGGTCCACTGACTGACATTTCTTGCAGCCAATAAAATTCTTAAAATGTGGATATGGACTGTGGTCTGTGACGAAGGCCTGCTTTATCTCAACAGCAGTAAGCCCATTTTAATTTGAAAGATTTTCAACACATTCTGAAACTGCCAAGTGTTAGCTTTAAAAAGAGACCTGATTTGTGCTTGTAGTCCAGACAGTCCAAGAGCCGCATTCAGTTTTCTCGCTTTATGCATGGTTCGGCATTCAAGGCAGTTTTAAGAGGATCTATATTAAAGTATTCAGAGCACCTGGCTGAGGTGGAGTGATACATACAGTGAAAAGTCCAAGTGTTGATTTCAAGCAAGTAAAACTCAGGACAGGTAAAATATAAATGTGTTTATTTTTCTGCTTTCAACAAAATCAGAAACTGCAACACAATATAGGGACAGAAGTTCTCCTTTAATCTTTATTCATAAAGATCTATTTTTTACAGTACACGAGATAACCAATGACATCGTGCAGAAGAGAGTATGAGTCAGTGTAAATAGTGGGTGTGATTGTGTGAAAACTGAGATGCATCATGGGCGGTGTAATGTAACTGGAAGCCTCCTGCTGTGACTGAAGCATCAGAGAGGAACTTCAACGTCATCACGTTTCCTGGGGAACAAAGACACAAAGGTTAGTTTTATACGGAAGCCCAAAGTGGACATTCATCCTGTTTTATGTCTGTGGAAAGGACTGCTCTCTGGTTGTTGTCTCTCGACTTATTGATCTTGTTATCTCAACATGACAACGCAGGTTGTGGAGAGATGGAGAGAGGTTAGAACGCAGAAAGGTTTACAGACCGATGCAGAGCTGGCTAAACACTGAAGCTGCAGTGTCCACCACATGGCAACCTGTGTGAGCAAGAGAGGAGGGGGCGGGGGGAGACAGCTCTCTACAATGTTTAGAATTTTGACTGCAGTACCCATTTTAAACACTAAGGGTCAGAATTACATATTGCTACTTTAATCATTTTTTAGGAGCAACCAATTTTACATTTTTTTATATAGGACCCATAATCCATGGTGGAGCCCTGGCAGCGGTTGTTGCTTGGTTAACCCTCGAGAAGAGGACTGAAATAAGCTCGTTATCACGGGGAAACTACAGCTGATATCCCCAGATGAAGAAATCGAGACCTCGTGAAAACATCCAAAACTGTTCTTGTAACAGGATGGAGTAAAATCAAATGTTCGGATGTGCATCCTCTTCTGGCTTCCTAACCCTAACCCTATAACCCCTAAACATGCATACATTTGTCCACAGGCCAAACAACACACAAAGGAGCATGTTATGTTTCTCATATAGAATCATCAGAAAGTCTTACCTGTGCTGATGATATCATCAGGCAATTCTTCGCCGCAAAATCTGTAAACATTAGAATAAAAAGTGGCGTTAACATTCAACATTCATGCAATATCTATCAGTGTAACTCCAGTTTACACTAAAGCCTAACCTCAACGGTCTAATTAAGTAGCCCCTCCCCCAGGTGGGTGACACTCTGACAGTCTGTCTTCTCACCGTAAACAATAGGACATGGAGCAAGAAAGCCCGAGACACCCAAGCCCTTCCAAAGAGGGGGCGTGGTCAGACACAGCTCATTTACATTTAAAGGTACAGACATAGAAACAGCCTGTTCTGAGCAGGGCTGAAATAGAGGGGTTTATAGACATGATCAAATACAGGATCAGAGTGGATTTAGAACAAGAAACCTCACACACATGTTTTGAGGAGCTCTGAGACTTATTTAAACTGATGAAGAGGAAGAGGATATGTGACCTTTAAAAAAAACAAAACTATTTGCAATCTGACGTCAAAGAAAACCCAATCACAACAGAGGAGTGTTTTCTAACACCACAGTGAGACAAAGCAGTTTCCTCTTGAGAATATTTTTTTAGGATTCAAGAACTCGAGTTGTTTTGGATGTACTCCAATATTTTCCCTTTCTCTATCTTTATTTTTAGTAAGTGTCTGAGATCGTCTTGTTGTTATATTGTGCTTAAAAACTTATTTTAAAGGTTTCTTTCCCGTAAGATTTTCTTTTGTAAGTTTCCATCAATAGTTTGAAACCATGTCGATAGTTTTTTGCACAATAACAAATCATTTCTTGTTTGTTGTTGCTTGTTTGTTCACTTAAATCATCAGTTTTATTTGTGTTTATAGTTTGCTCCTCATTGTATTGGCTATTTGTTGGTTAAATAATCGGTTTCTGTTAAGTCCCGTTTCCACCAAGCAGTCCGGTTAAGTTCGGTTCAATGCTGTACCCGTTTATTGGCGTTTCCACCGTCTAAAGTTGGGAATGGTACCAAAATAAGGGATCTGTACCGTACTACTTTGTTGGAACCCTTCTGTTGGGGTGCCAAGGGTCAAAAGGGTCCCGGTTTGACCTCGAAGGATCCCTTTTGTTTACTGTGTCCCGTTCTTCTTCTTTGTTTGACTTTATTAATAGCGTGCCACACTGTGTTGGGCTGCTATGATGTCACACTATTTCGTAGCTGACGCGGCTATCTCCGTCCTGCTTACTATCCGCTTACAGAATAAGGTAACGGTTGGCCGTTGAAACTCAAGCAAGATCAGGGTCTACCGTACCGTAACCGGACCGCTCAGTGGAAACGGGCTTTAGACACTTTTCTCTCTGGATGATCCTCACCTCCCAGCGAAGCCTGACACATCATCATAGCTGTCGTACACCTCCAGGTAATCAGCCAGGCACGCCGTGTCGTCCTCCACGTCAAACTCCAGGAAGTGGAGAACGATCCTCTGACCCAATTTGACTCTGATGTGCCAGTAGCAGATCTGCTCGTCCTGGTACTCGTCGGGGAACCCAGGAGACTGAATGATCCTCTTCGGGTCCGTCAGCACACCGCCACACTCCTTAGCTGGAAGACACAGAAATCACACAAATAGCAGCTTATGCTAATTAGAGAGATGAAAAAGACTGAAATGAATACTGAAAATCTAAATCCAGGGTTCTCAACCAGTGGGTCGCGGTTTTTATGCTCAACACTCAAACTGCATGACAACTTGCTCTCACTGTTACCCGGTCCAAAACTCTGAAGTGCAACAAACTCCAGGATTCAAACATGTCTGACATCAAGCTCCTTACAACTGATTCAGGGGCTAGAAATAGTACAGCATTTCTGAACCTTTTAAGCAATGAATAAAGGGATCATGTATCTCTTTGCACTATTTTAAGATGAACCACTGTAGTCTACCTCCACAGCAGCAGAAATAAGAAGAAAGCAAGCCAGGATGATCCACTCTCATATTCAACAGGTGTGAAGAAAGCCGACTGGAAGGTAATGCACATGTCTCTCTGTATCTGCAGGATGTGAAAGCATCTCAGAAATATGTCTGCAATAGCTGAAATCAAGCCAACGTTTTGTTTAAATTATTATTTTTAGATGCCGTCAAGTCACCAAAAGAAATACATATTTGTAAAATAAGTAAGAAGAAGAAGGATTGAATCCATCTTTGATTACATTTTAAAGGCACAGCCAGTCTCAAGGTGTACACTCAATTGGAAGGAAAAGAAACCTATAATCCATGGTGGCAGCGGCGGCGGTGGCAGCCCCAGCAGATGTTGATGATCGAGGTTAACCCCCAACCACTTGAGCTGTAACTACCATCATTATAAAACATTTCCCCTCGTCCCAGGTCGTGATGTTTAAAGTCACAGTTTTGTTAAGTCTTGCCTGAGTCAGCCAAAATCCCCCCAAGCTCCTGTGCTAATCGTGCTGAGTAATAATAAGACCAACAGGTGAAGATGTGTCCTTAGAGGACAGGACAGAGAGACTGCAGCAGCTTCTTTCAAGACGGAGATATCGTTCTTTTGTTCTTTCACTGCAACCCCACGGAAAGATGTGAGCAGTAGGAGCTCAGCGTGGGAAGATTAATACAAGGTGGAGCGCTTCAGAAAAATGAAATATATACCATACTTCATGTGAGATTAATATACTTCAGTGTGTGCATGGTCAGCTGATGTCAGAGCACATTAAACCAAAGGGGCTGCAAGTTCACAGCTACATCACAAACACACAATATATTTTAAATTCACTGCAGTAAAAGTCAGCTGGAGGACACTCTGTCACTCTAATCCCTCCAAACCGGGCATCTTCAGTCGCTGGGTTTGATTCTGGGGGTCTGACCTTAGCGTGTGAGCGTCAAATGAACTCAGAGGAGACGGAAAGAAACCTTTAGTCGAAGGAAAGGGAATCAAACACATGTGTTCAGACTCAGGCATCAAAAGCTTTTACACCAGACAACCTGCAGGGAGAAGAAGACGTTTCTCATGATTATAAACACTGGGAAAAATCAGATTTCGACGGTTAGATTATAAAGACAGACTTTGATGACTAAACTTTAATTTAGGGGGGATCGGAGGGTTTTAGGATAAAGGATTTGTGTTGTCTGGTTTCCTTTTGTTTGGTCTTTAAAAAAAAGAACCTCTCTGTCCCTCTTCAGTCTCCAGTCTGGTATACGTCAGATATCTTCAGGGACTTTTCCAGAGAACAAAAGGTCTTTGGTGAGGAGTAATTGTACGGAAATCGTTTTCTTCTGGCGTTATTTGAGATCCTGAACACCCGAGCTGAGGACACGTCAGCTTCTTTCATAATCTGTTTTATACCCAAGTTGTGTTCTTACGAATCAACAACAGCGTAGAACGACATTATCCTCGACACAACCACACAGTTTGTTTTTTATCATCGAGAGACGGAGAGAATCTTTTTTCAAGAAGCTTCATAAGTTTTATTCTGATCGTCCTTTCCTGCAGGAGTCTCAAGCCTTTTTCACACCTCCACTCCTGAACCAGAAGCCCCTTTTTGGAATGCTTCTAAACAAACAAGGGGTTAAGGATATGCAACTTCACGGGGTGCACAAAGATCGATCTGGTTCACCTGGAAATTTTTCAAGAGGACTCGCAGGAAAACATCCAGGTAGAGATCAAATCAGCGTCTGGTGTTCACACATGCAGCTCACCCTGAACACTTCCGAAACCCCTGATGTTTAGCTCAGGCAGGCCGGTGTGCTAAAGTGGAAAACGTTTTCTTGTGGTTGAAGTATTGAACGGCATACGATCATGTCTCTGATTTATAACCAGCCACAGACGCTGGGTGACTTTCTGGTTTTTATTACAGACCGTCATGAGCATCCCAACCTGCAAAGAATGCAAGAATCCTTTTCTTGTTCTGCAGGAAGATCTGCCCCTGAACTTTCTGCGGTAAGGGTAACAACTGCAGCACTCACACCCACATGTAGGCGCCATCCCACCAAAAAAATCCAGTTGACTGAACATGTGGAGCCGGCCTACAGCGGTGTCAGGTACGTTATTATACTGAGACTATTCTGAGTCCGCTTCACTGCACAGGTCGACTGGTCCTTTATACTGAAGAAGGAAATGTAATTATCAGATGGTCAAATCATACTTTCTGTCGTCTCAGAAATCAAACATTTACACCTTCTTAAACTTTTAAAAATCATTCAGAAATGTTTGTCATGTTTGTTAAATCTTCTGTTATTTAATAAAACGAAGAAGTTTCCGACCTGAACATGAACACTTATGTATTTTACCTTTTTGTTTGAACCATGACTTTGACTGTAGAGGCTCAAATGTTCTGACAGATATTTATAATAAAATTAGCATGTGTAAAATCTCTTTGCCTAAAAAAGGAGGTCTCTCTGTCGCTCGTTTGTTGAACCAAGAGAGCGTGTCACCTCTGTAGTTATCTCCATGTGACTCTGTCTCCTCTCTGAAATCTTATCCACCCTGCAGGTTTATTCCAGGTCGGACTTTGATAACTCACAGGGTGGGACACAGATTGTGGCTCCCCCCCCCCCGGCCCGGTGATGAGGACATCATGAGTGCATCTGTTGAGGCTCAGACTTGATGACTACATGTAACCCGTAAAGATTTGGGGACTCATCCTGACTCTGACACTTCACCACAGACACACAGTCATCACTAAGAGACGGTTGGTTTATCAAGATGGTTTATCAAGGGAGAACAAATATTTATGAAACTGTACATAAGCGATCTTCAGTCCTTTTGGTCCACTTTCGGCTTCATGTTTTGGTTGTGTGAGACAATAATGGATGTTTGGATTACATTCCCAGCTGAAGAGTTCTTTTGGCCTGAATGTGACTGAGTAAAAGTATGTCTTTTGTGGGCCACTTCTCTTTTGCACGCATCAGATAAATGGATTGTAGATCATTATATGAGAGGTGTACTCACAGTTCGGGTTGTAGCAGTACACGTCCCACTTCTCACTTTTGTTCAGCCTGTACCCGTAGTCGACGATGCCGATCTTACCGAAGCCACATTTGGCGCCGGCTTTGACGATCGGGTACCCGACGCGTCCTCTGTCGAACCATCCGGCTGCACACACATGGAATCCTGAGCAAGAAGTAGAAAGTACACAGATTTTAGACGTCTGACGTTTGACCACATCCCCCAACGGTGAAGCCTGAAAGAGAGAAAGTGGCTCACAGCCTCTTTTGGAGAGGTTCTGTTTGTTATTTTGTGTTTCTTCTTTGTGCAGAAAGAGGCCTTAGTGTTTAGCTCCGAGTTACAATCAGCAAAGCTCAGCCAGAGCAGCCCAGATAAACAAGGGACCTCCTAGGTAGACAGCTGAGGGGGGAAACTGAGCTGTGGAAACCAGAGCGAGTGGCTGGACTGGATCTCTGTGTCACGATAACGGTGAAACCACCCACCCAAGAAGGTGTTAACAGGCTTTTACTACACTCCTGGGGAGGCTTTCATTTGGCATGTCATGAAACAGAGTGGAAAGTCATGTTTCAAACACTTATTTCCAGTGACCTGTAGCCTGTGAACATGTGAACCTCTTCTGGTAGATGTTAAAGGCATTCCAGCGAAATTTAAAGATGTATAAACACGGTTACATCTTAGAGCTGTGCTAACCATCCTTAACCTGCCCGAGAACAATGCAGCAGCAGCAGCCACGTTATCGTCCCCTTCTTTACTTCCAGACGACCGTCATGCTCCAGAGTGACGCGGGGGCATGTACTGCTAACTGAGTTGAAGTACTGGCACTAAACATATTGGCAAAATGAGACCCAAAGAGTTATAATTCATGATTCCAGGGTAATTCCAAATTCTAAACATTGTAGAGAGCTGTCTCCCCCCGCCCCCTCCTCTCTAGAGTTGCTCACGCAGGTAGCCATGTGGTGGACACTGAAGCTTCAGTGTTTAGCCAGCTCTGCATCGTTCTGTAAATCTTTCTACGTTCTAACCTCTCTCCATTTTTCAAAAGCATCTCCAATATTGATCCTAGTTTGAGCATGTTTCTGCTCGTGGAGCTTATTAGAAACATGCAGAGGCTTTTTAGGTCGGGTACAATCACTTCTATCTGAACGACTTCTCTTGCCCGCTTCCATCGCTGCAACACCTGTTGGTTTGACCTGATAACTGCTCTCATATCTGGCAAACCGAGGGGCGTCTAAAATGACCGTGTGGGGGTGCCTTAAAACCGCCTACCTTCTCTGGTCCAAACAAATCCAGAACATTCAGGAGCAGAATCTAAAGTTAGAAGGAGGACATACTGGCTGCTGCATTGTTGTCAGAGAAGCCAGCACTTCAACATAGCACGTTTCCTTAATGTCTGATCATATAGTGAGGTACCTTTATCATTTCACTCACTACATATCTTACTGGTTAGACCTTTAAAATGTCTTCTTTAATGCCACTATAATATATTTTCCTCCAAACACAGAGCGGGTCATAGCCTGTCGTGTCTGCGTTGTTGCTCCTGCTTGCTTCTACAAACATTAGCTCTGCTGATCACAGTAGTTAAACAATAACCATTAATAATAATAACCACAGACAGCCCCACTTGTCTGTCCCCTGAATGCACCAAACAGATCTCAGGGACTCGTGCAGACTCCATCAGAGAGTCTCTGAGTGTGTTCAAGAGTAGCTCTGCTCTGCGTGTGTGCTGTGGATGTGTCTGTGTGTAATGTGCTGCAGACCTATTTGACGGGCTGCCTCCAGTTGTTGGTATGTGGCGAGCGACCCTCCTTCGTACTTGCAGACCGCCTTGGCCTCCTTATATGTCAGCTGGTATCGCCCTTTACGTGATTCCCGGTGGTAAACTCCAGCTGCTTGCTCTGAAAAAGAGAGAGAGACACAAAACCAGCTACTGCTTCTGCTTAAATCTGACAAAGAAACAACGGCCTGCATGTGGTTTTCAGTGCCAAACACAACAATTTAAACCAAAGCTACAGAACTTCAAATGAAAGAATTTGGCAGAACACATCAATAAAGCCGAAGCGAGGCGTGACTTTATTCTAGAGGAGGAAACTGTGATTTTTATTTCCATTTTCTTGGAAGTGTACCAACGTTTTTTTTCTCTCGGCCTCCTCAGCAGGGCGTCCTCTGCTGATCCTGTTTTGGCTTTATGCATGACTACAAACCGTGCAGAAATTAGCTTCATGTGGATATTTTGATCTTTTAAAAACCAGTTTATGAAAGTTTTTCTAGACTAATTAAACTCCTCAGCTCTGACCAGGGGAAGCTGCTGCCTTTTTGTGCAGTTTACCACGATGTCTGTAACTTTAAAAAAGGGAGAGGAGAATATTGGGACTTTGTGCAACGTAATCTTAACACTTCAGTATGGAAAGTCATCTTTGCCTTAACCATAGACTGTATAAAGAATGGACAGGGCAACACATCGCCTCAAGCGAAGCAAAAATATGTAGAGTGCCCACTGCTGATTGGCTGTAGTATGGGGAATAAGCTCTGCGTCCTCCATGTTGACAGATAGAACAAACTATAAAATCTAACTACACATTAAATAAATCTCTCTTGAACCCTGTCTCATAATGATCGTAATTATCACGCTGATTTATGTTCAAGTCCTCTTTTTTTAATTTGTTTTTTGATGCTTTAAAGGGGCCGCTAGACCTCCTGCGGCGCTGTGTGCACCGGATTATGAACATAAGGAACACTAACCTAAGGCCACGTTTACTCAACAACGATCCACTGAAAACTGAACCGTTTTGTGTTTTCATTTTCCGAAAAGTTCTGCATGCAGACGACAACGTTTTGATGACAACCGCCGTGCACACGGATCCACAATGACTAAAAACCAGCTGGGGTCGACTGCTGCCCCCACGACCCTGAACAGGAAAAGCTGTGAAGATAATGGATGGATGGAGGATCCTTTATAAGCTCATTTATGAGCTCCTTTGCACATCAAGTCACATTTTGAGGCTTTAAAGGGGCTTGCACTAGAAAGCAGGATTTGGGGTTAGCAAGGTTTATCGCCATGGTAACTGATGCTGCAAACCTAACCTGCTCCGGGCTGGAGGTCAGCTTTTGTGAAGCCAGTTGACCCAAAGATACCCCATGAGAGGACGAAGCGGGTATGTTGAACCCGCTTTGTAGTCTCGGCCCCTGATCCGTTTTTTTTTAACTGTTTTAACATTTGAACCGCTTTTTAAACCTTTAATTATTTATATTTAGAGTCCGACACCGGGAGTGTGTTTTTAGTTTTCTCAGTTTCAGGACAATAAAGGCTCACATGTGTAAGTTTAAGTTTCTATAGACCTTGTGCATTATGTGAGACAAATCCGTGCAGGAGCATGCAAAAAGCATCTTTATGAGAATAACAGTTGGAGAAAAGGGTCGGACTGTCGTATTGATGACACATTAAGTTCAGTTTTGTGAAGGAAGAAATCCTCTGGACATACGAGGCTTCATATCTGGAGTCTTTCCTTCCCTGTGCATCGAGAAACGTCATTAAACGGCATCCTGAACACACTGTTCTGTTTGTCTCCCTCTCAGTCCATAAAAATATAAAGAACGGAGCTCTGTAAGTCAGAGGTATGATCATTTATAATCACACCAAATTCATTTTCAATGTTACAGAGGAGGTGATTGGTTCGTGTACTCTGAACACCCTTACATGAAGTAATTCTCCTGGTGTTTACTGGCCTCATGCAGCACACAGTCAGGTCATAAACAATCCACTTGGCACAGGAGAGCGCCGCTGGAGTGCTGCGATGCCTGTTAATCCTGTTACTCCTCACAACATGGCTTTATGTGAGAGGTGAGTTATTTTTCTGTGTTTGCAAAAACACACTCAAACCCAAACGGTCGGACAGAAACTGGGGGAAAAAGGCGTTTGTGCATTCTGCACCCTCAGCCTGGAATCTGTTGCGGAATGACTTGAAACTCAAAGAGCTGGAGTCCTTAAGGGTTTTTAAATCTAGAATGAAAGCCCTGTTAGCAGATTCTTCAGGGTCTTGTTTCTTTTAGCTCAACTGCTGAACTTCTCTCAGATTTGACTCATAGATGATTCTCTTTTAAAGGCAAAAAAAAACTAGCATGATTTTGAAAGTAGCATTCCCTCAGTGTTCTGTCTACACCCCCTTACATGAGGGGGAGGCGTCTGATTGGTTAATCAGATTGGTACCTCGTGGCAGACATTGGTTGAAGTTTTTACAGGCTTACAACTGCTACAGATGACGGATTTTCTTTGTTCCTTTTTCAGAGAACATGAGTTATTAATTTCTGTCAGGACCTAAAGACAATTTCAACCAAAATCAGAAAAAGTGGATCTGGAGAAAATTACCAACCCTGTCTTTAAATGCAAAATGTAGTGTATGTAGTCTGTTAATTGTTGTCTCTCTTTGTGTCTCCGTCTAACTTTGGGTTTTTGCCGCTGACTGTTTCGACCAGGTCTCCCTTAGAAAAGAGGTTCTTAATCCCAACAGGTCCAAACTGGTTCAATAAATAAAAGACTCAGAATAATCACAGGAAGAAAGGACAGTTGACAGCATCAACTTTTCTCCACTTGTTTTGAGGATTTTAAAGATGTTTTTGTCTGATTTCTTTATCCACTCAGTGGCTTTGACATTTACATTTTAACGACCTTGCTGCAGTTGTTGCTCTGCTAACTGGCACTTTGTCTCCTTCCCCTTGTTTGGAATAATGAATGGAATAAAGATGAATGAAGAAACTGAGCTCTATAAAGATGTTGTTCACTCTTTAACCAAGGTTATTTTAAGCTGCCATGACTTTGACATACAGATAGAAAGTTCCTTACCCAGCCATATGGAGTTATGAAATATTCCATCCTTGTAGCCCCATGCCTGAGCCTCTTTCAGCAGGAGGCAGAGAGCAGTGAGCAGAGTGAAGACTCTCATGCTGCAGAGAGCGGAGAGCAGCTGCTGTGTGCAGAGGAGGTTTCAGGAGCTGCTGCTTTATAAAGACCTCCCCAAATGCTCCTTCCGACCAACAGGGTGAGGGGTAACACACTGAGGTTTCCTCTGCAGGCTCTTTACTCCATTTACTGACTACAACAACCCAGGGAGACTTGGGGGGTAATAATATATATTTTTTATTATTCACAGGTTGCCTGGAACACACTCATCATCTTTGAATACTAGTAAAATATACATGTGGACTAACTATTAAAGGTCACATATAATCCAAAATCCACTTCACCATGTTTCTCTAACTCTAATATGTGTCTCTAGTCGGTCTACAAACCCCCCAATGATGTCTTTTGCCTGCTCCACTTTTCAGAAAATGTGTGCTCAAACAGGCCGTTTGGAGATTTTCACTTCATGACATCACAAAGGGCAGAAAACTAATGAACCCCCCCCCCCCCCCGTACAGTGCGTGCCGATCGAGACATGAGCTAATCAGACCTATTTGGTTTTTTGAACCAGGCTGTAAACATATTCATCTCTGCTGTAAAAACAGGCTTTTTGAATGGGTGTGTATGTGACTTCCTGTGCTTCTGCAGCCAGCCTCTAGTGGACACTCGAGGAACTGCAGGACTTTAGACCTCAGCATTGACTTCATGCTAATTGTTCGACAACAGCTTGAAAATATTACATTTGACATCAATGAATCAAAACAATTTGCTAAAAGAGTCAAAAAACAACCAAGACTGGACCCAAGAGGGATTTTAAAGACTACACGGTTTAATCAAGGCTCCTTTTTGCATTATCTTACTGACATTCTTTGCACAATGGAAAGGGAGTTTCTCTGTAAAGTTCCCCTGCAGACTCATGTCAGCACAGTTGCTCAACAACACAGACCACAGGGGGTGGAGGGTAGAAGGAGATGGGGGAGTTTCTGTGTAAAGTGAACAGTACACAAAACCATCTGTGAAGGTTTTCCAGATGTTAGATCTACCCCGCAGCTTCAGGAACAGAGTACACCAACGTGATCCCATTGTGAGCTGAAAACAGGGAAGTGTGTTGCCAACATTTTGGACAGAGGTTAAATAAATATTCTTGAGTGCTCAGAAGAATTTCTAAAAGGCAACATTCTGAATATTAACACAGTAAAAATCAAATTTAAAGGAGCAATATGTAACTCTGACCCCTAGTGTTTAAAATGGGTACTGCAGTCTAAATTCTAAACATTGTAGAGAGCTGTCTCCCCCCCGCCCCCTCCTCGTCGTTGCTCATACAGGTTGCCATGTGGTGGACACTGAAGCTTCAGTGTTTAGCCAGCTCTGAACCTTTCTGTGTTCTAACCTCTCCAAAATTGCCAAAACGCAATTTAGACAGTGTGCCGGAGTTTACCTGCAATATTGATTACTAAAAAAGAAGAGACTGTTTAATTTTTGTTGCCAGCTTTGTCTATGACTTTGTTACGTCGCCTCCACAAAGGTGTCAGAAATGCAGAAGCCAGAAGCTGCCTGATGAGGGCGCTGAAAGTACTCGTCGTCCTGATGGTGTCAAAGTGAAACGATGGTCATCCTGTAACACGAGAAAGGAACCAGAAACCATCCTAACAAGGTGATGTTGAATATTTCAGTCACACTAATATGATGTTTCAGTGCCAGTTATGACTTTATGCTCTCTTTGGTTTCACCTCCCAACTCTTCCAATTAACTCTAATTTAATTTTTATAAATCAACAAATATCTGCTCAGTGGTTTTTAAGGTGTAGTCTCGGTGGCGTCCATGATCCGTTTATGTATAGAGTCGATTTAGTGCCGAGCGATGAGGTCATGAATTTATTTTTTAGTAAAACATGAATCTCCTTTTCTGATCATCACAGGTGAATGTGAAAACACACTTTCTCACACACACACACGCACACGCATACTCTTACACACACACACACACACACACACACACACACACACAAAATTGTTTCTGAATTGGTTCCAGATCTGGGAGGAAATGATCTGGCCCGTTTTAATTCCCGGTGAGCCGCTCCCTTCAAACCCACACATGGAAAGTCCGTCTCAGTGGTGGTGGTTGTGACACCCCGTGTATTACAGTGCAGTCTAATAAGAGATTCATCATTTCCACGTGTCCCACAAATTCAGGAGGGTGAACCCGTAACTCAGCTCGGAGTGAGGGGGGCTGTTTAGTGATTAACAAAGGGCCGTAAATAAGTTACTCTCATGACGTCATGTCTGCTCCGCGCGTCACACACATATTCAGAAGAACGTTTTAAATCTGCTCAGAATAAGGAGGAAGGACCACCGCGTTTACTGTAACAGTTTAGGTGAAGTAATGTCTGTGTAGACGCTGCAAGCAGGATCGTCTATTTTTCAGGGAGAGCTGGAGGTCGCCATGACTACAGTCCTCTCTTGTGCCTCACTGTATTGCACTCAAGTGTGACTTCCTCCAAACCCTTTCATGGCGTAATGGTCGTGATTATAGGATAGGATAGTACTTTATTGATCCCCAGAGGGGAAATTCAGAAAAAAAAAAAAAAAAATCCTAAAAATCAAACATGTCTGATATAAACGCTAAATGGTAAACGGACTTGAGCTTGTATAGCGCTTTCTTGTCTTCTGACTTCTCAATGCGCTTTGACCCGCAGGTCACACGTTCACACCCTGATGGTAGAGGACGCTGTGTGGTGTCTTGTGTAGTACTCGAAAACGGTCTTGGTTTCAAGACCACTTTTTGAGCTCTCGTCTCGTCTCGTCTTGGAGTCTTGTCTTCGTCTCAGACTAGGCGGACTCCGGATTTTAAGACCACCACTGATTAGCTATTTCTCCATGTCATTACTGTGATTCTGAAAGAACAATTAACTTCGGTCTGGCCCTGCCTTGGTCTTCGTCTTGACTCGGTCTCGGTCCCTCAATATCTTAGTCTTGGAGCACTCTGGTCTCGGTGAGAGTGGTCGAAGGAGAAGGGTTAAGTTTCTTGGACACATCTAACATGTGGCTGCAGGAACTGGGGATCGAACCCCCGACCTTCCAGGTAGGAGACGACTGACTCCACCAACTGAGCCACAGCCGCCCCGGGCTCAGTTGGTATTTAATCTGGGCAGGTTCTCTGTTCTGAGCAGCCTCGAGGCCGGGAACACCCCGCAGATTATCAGGAAGGAGGTCGGTCTGATTCTCCTGTAGTCCTGCCAGACTCGTCGTCTCTCAGCCTCAGCTCCGTTTCCTCTTCTAAAGTCGATAATCAGACCGTAAACTATGGCAAAATATGGACTAAGCTCGTCCTTCTTCTAAACGCTACTTTACTTTGACCAGCTGGACTTTGACTTCATACATATGGTGTCGTTTCAGCGTCAGTGGTTAAAGTGTCTCTGAACTTGAACTTTGTCTGATTAGCATCAGAATCAGGAAGTGGATGTTGAAATTCTGGAGAATTCTCCTGAGAGTTCTGGGGGGTGAACATGTGGTCGCTCAATACAGCCACATGTGTTGAACATGTTTCAGGAGCAGAGCTCGTTTTAGTGGTCAGATTCTCTCTGACGGGGTGACCGTTACTGTGAAATAGATCAACGTGTCAAATACAAGAGACGGAGAGAGGATGGATCGAGAGATGCGAGAGAGAGAGATGGATGAATGGAAAGAGGATAGGAGTGATGGATGAAGGGATGGATGAAGAACAAAATGGATGGATGGATGGATGGATGGATGATGAATGAATGGATGGATGGATGAATGGATGGAAAGAGGAATGGCGCAATGGATGAAGTGCAAAATGGATAGATGAATGATGAATGGATAAATGGATGAATGGATGGATGAATGGATGGGTGGATGGATGAATGGATGGATAAATGGATGGAAAGAGGAAAGGAGTGATGGATGAAGTGCAAAATGGATGGATGAATGGATGAATGATGAATGGATGAATGGATGGATGGACAGAGGAAAGGAGTGATGGATTAAGAGCAAAATGAATGGATGGGGAGGATAATAGTGTCTTTGTTTAATTCTTAGAGTTTGTACTCTCTGACTTCCATGACGTAACATCCTGGCACACACTAGTGTCAAAGCAGGGGGGGGGGGTTTCCTCGCTCTGGTGGTCTATGACACACACACACACACACACACACACACACACACACACACACACACACACACACACACACACACACACACACACACACACACACACACACACACACACACACACACACACACACACACACACACACACACACACACTCTCTCTCCCTCCCTAATAACCTGAAGACCTCTCTCCCTTCATGCACATAAAATGACGTCAACAGCAGATCCTGTCATGTTTTTATTTGTTTACCATGAAATGTGTAAAACTTTGATTCTGGTTTGGACCATCAGACACCCGCTTTAACATTTGGATTCATAAAATTCATCAGACTCTTACATGAATAGAGTCCATCTATCCTGAACTGAACAGGGTTAATTTTTTTCTGAAGCCAGGTGGTCTGAAATGTTTCCTGCAGTGGAGGCCGAACATCTCCATGCAACTTCAGCCAAGTGTTTAATTAATGTTCAAAGTCATCAAACATCAGGTAGAACTAGTTTGGGACTATGTCTAAAATATTACGGGTAAATATTAATGGAGCTCAGCGTAAGTTCAAGCAGGAACACTGGTTATATTCTCTCACATGTTTATTCAATTCCTTCATTCATCTGAGCCCCTCCTTCTCTACCTCTCCCTCCGTCTCCCTGCCCTGGTGATCAGCTGAGTTAGGACGTTTACTCTTTAAGTAATAATCCAACCCGACTCTGCCACAACCTCTCTCAACCAATCATCCTGCTGCGGTCACATTTTAAAATCTGTTCTCTCTCTTCCTCAGTCAAGTTTGTCATTTCAGTGCGATCGCTGCGACCGTCCTCCGCCCCGATCCCCTCCAGTCCAGCTCAGCAGAGCAGATACAGCCTCAGAAACCCCCTCCTCATCACATGCTGCATTCCTCTATCACCACCACCAGGGTCTAGACTCCATAGAGGGGTATCACCACCACCACCACCAGGGTC